ACCCACAGAAATCAGTCACTCCTCTTAAAGTAGCAACCTACATCCTCCAAGTTTCACCCAGAGGTTGGGGACATTTTTTGACCCCCCTGGCAATGACATTTCTGGTAACATGAGAATAGCAAACTCAGATCAGAAACCATCAGCAAGTCCTTTCATATGCCTAACCTAAGTAGTTCCTGCTACGGGCTAAGCCTCTATCCAGAACAGTCTTAAGTAAGGAGACCTGAGGGGGCATGGAGGAGTCTTCACAGGTGGGGTCTGGACTCTGTTTCCTCACTTGTAAGAGAGGCCAGACCTGGGGTCACAGAGTCCAGTCTCTCCCTGGGGCATCTGGCACCACGGCCCACAGGGAGTTCCCCTGCGTGACCTACAGGTGGACATACGATGACGACAGCGTGCCCAAGCGCTCACAACGTGCTGGGCATTGTGGTGCATTAATTACCTCATGAATCCTCACACAATCACACGAGGCCGGGACCATAATTATTCCCATTGCCAGAAGAGGGAACCAGCTCTGAGAGTTATGCAACCGGCAGGAGGCTGTACAGCCAGTAGTGGCAGATCTGAGCTGGGAACCAGGAGAAATCCAGCAGTTGTCAGATACTGCCTGCGCCTCCCCAGAAAGCACTGCGCATTGCCTGGTGGGCCACTGGCGGGCTGCATTTTCCTCTATAGTAATCTGTATTTTCTTAACTTTTCTTCTGGGACCATGCATTAATTTTGCAATTAAAGACATTTTTTTTAAAAGAAAAGAATAAACTCATTGGTGATGAGAAGAACCCTGAGGACGGGAAGGGCGAGAGGCAGGCAGGCCACCACTCCAGAGGCCACGGGGCATCTGTCTGCCCCTCATGGGCCCTTGCTGCCAGGGCAGCCTTCGTCCACGCGCCGCGCCGCCGCCTTCCAGCCACCCCTGCCTTACCTTGTTGGCCCACTGGACCCGCTCCACGTCCGGAAAGTGGATCTAAGGAACAGAAGCCCCGAGGGGGAGTCAGACCCCGCCCAGCCCTCCTGGGAACCAGGCAGGTGGCCAGGCAACGCCGCCGGTAGGATTCCGTTCCCGCCCGGGAGCGCCACGGCTCTTCCTCCGTCCCGCGCTGAGCCCCCACTCCGCGCCGGCCCCGGAGACTCAGCCGGCCGCCCCCTCCCCACCCACCGGCGAGCACCCCCCGCGGGCGGGCCACGCTCGGCCCTGACACCGACGCGCGTGGCTCCGAAATGCCGCACACGGCGGTTCTGGGGAGACCGACCCCCATCCTCCTCCTCCCCGCCTCATCCCCCCACCGCCCCGCACCCCCGCGGGCAGGTGGGAGGGCGGGGCTGGCGCCCACTCCTTTGCTTGTGCAAATAGGCCCCGCCCACCCGGGAACGGGCGCAGCCCCCAACTTGGTAACACTCAGAGCTTGCGAATTCCGTTCCTGTTAAAGACACAAGAATCATAGCTTCTGTATACAAATTAGAAATTGTAGCTAAGTAAAAGTAAACATTTTATGAGTGAAGGACGTCCAGTGATAACCGCCGCTAACAGGTTGATGCATTCATTGCTCTCCAGTTTCTTCCAGAAACAAGTGTGTGTAGTAGAGAGAAATTGCGGTCCTAAGTGCTTTTTTGTAGCCTTCCTTCACTTAATGTATTACGATCGCTCTGATTCCAAATGTAGCTATTACCAGTATGGAAGGCCAGAAGGGCATCGTGTTGTTTACATTGGCACTTGGGGTGCAGAGGCGCCCCTCCTCAGCTCCCACCCACGCCTCACCCCACCCCAGCAAGGAGGCCCCTGAGGCCAAGTCCTGGAGTCATGTAGCAGAGCTCCTCCAGGTCACAGTTTCAGGCCACTGTGCCTGCTGGGGGAGTCCTCCCACAGCCCCTGGCTGGGGGCTGGAGGGGGGGGGGGCAAGATAAAGTGGCACTCCTGTTAGCTAACCTTTGTATGACCTGATGCTAGGTGTGCTGAACCCTCTCCTCCCAAGAGTCAGAGCCTCTGAATATGTCTACTGGACTTATCCTCCTCCCCAAGTTTTTCTGGGAGAGACAGAGGGGAGAGGATATGCCAGGTGTCTGGCACAAAGCACTATCAGTAAAATGTCAGTCCTGGCCATCACTGTAGCCATGCCCAGGTCACCTGAGCACGAGGCCAACCTGGGATCAGATTCGTGGTTTGCTTAGAACCTCCTAAGGTCAATAAAGGGCCTGCCCTTCCAGCTGGGGGCTCAGAAGGCTCACTGCCCGAAGCCTGAGGATGGGCATGCACACCAGTGTACACCCACCAAGAACCAGGCCCTGGCTAGTTTTGGATGCCCTGAAGGTCCAAACACAGGCCTTGGCCTAGACCACATGCCCAGGAGGAGTGCATTCCCAAAGGAGGGTACAGAGCAATTTAATTTTCTTAGGAGCAGTTTTCAGTGGCTTTGAGAGGTCAGAGGAGCCCAGGGCTTCTGAGCCTCATGGGACGTATTGCCAGCCAGTTTTCCTGGAAGCTCTGCTGGGCTGATGCAGCTTGTTCCCTATCAGCGCCTGTTCCTGCCATATGAATGTCTTAGTAAATATTTGTGGAATGAATGACTGACTATATGAATGAATGCAAGGTTCTTGCCCTCAAAGAGCTCCCTCAAAGGCTAGGGAAGGAAGCAGGTGATTAACGGACCATTCCAGCACAGGCAGGGGAAGGGCAACCCCCACAATGGACAGTTTGGTTACAGCTGGGCCCTCATGTGCCTCTGCTCCTCTTCTGCGCACGTCTGCTGGTGGGCCCCTTGCTCTCNGGAAGCAGGTGATTAACGGACCATTCCAGTACAGGCAGGGGAAGGGCGACCCCCACAATGGACAGTTTGGTTACAGCTGGGCCCTCATGTGCCTCTGCTCCTCTTCTGCCCACGTCTGCTGGTGGGCCCCTTGCTCTCTTCCTTCCATCCCAACCACTGTGCTTCCCATCCTGCCAAGGTGTGCACACACTAGATGCACACCCCTCAGCAGCCCAGTTCATCCTGCATCCCTGGGAGCTGAGAAGTTCTGATCTGCCAGACCCTGGACAGATTCCTGAGTTGCCTCACACCTTCTGAATCAGAGTGAATGAGGTGGGGCCTTCCGGTTTAATGGGCTCCTGACATGACTCTGGAGTCCAGGCAGGGCTGGTTGTGCAGCATCAGTGACCAGTCCACCCCCCGGCATTAGACTGCCCCCAACTCACCCTACCAGTGAGGATAGCACCGGAACGCCTGGGCTGATTCAGTTCTCATGATCTCCCCTAGCCACCACGCCTGTGTTGGAGGCTCCTCACCAAGAGATTCCTCCAAAGAGTGAGTCTGAACCCTCTGAGGACAGCAGCAATTCAAACCAAGAAAACAGATTAATCAAAGCACCCTGGGCCTCCTGCAAACCGAACCTCAGCACCTGTCACAACTCCCCAGTACAAGGGCCAGGAGCCTGCTGACTTGGGACCTCAGCCCCGTGACTGCCCCTAACAAGCCCTGGACCAGGGAATGAAACCCAGACACGGTCACTTTCAGAGCAGCTACTCAAACCCAGCCCTTCCCCAGTTTGATGAAAATTAGTCTCTTCTTCCATTGTAATCAGTATTTTTTGGATCTTTCCCAAATGCATGAAATTACTATGTTTTTAATCTATTGCCTTTGTATTTTAGCTTTCGCATTTTAGGTCTTCAGTCTGTCTGGTATGTTTTATAGCAGTGAGATAGGCATATAACTTCATTTCTCTCCACACTCCCATTAAGACCATTTTCTAGTATCACATTCACAGTCCATCTGCCTCCTACCTCATGAAGCGTCTTCCCTCACCTATCACGCTCTCACGTGTACTTTGGTGTGTTTCTGGACTTGGCATTGAATGCGTGGTCTGGTTGCCTATTCCTGTGTTGAGTAGCACACTGTTTCTGTCACTGTGGCTTAGCAAAAGGACCTGGGGTAGAGTGATTCCCCTTTTTTCTTTTTCAAACTCATCAAGATGACAGTAGGTATTTATACTTGCATATGAATTTTAGAATCATCCTGTAATCTTCAAAAAAAAGAGATGCTCCTGAGATTTTGATTGTTATATTTTTGAATTTATACATTAATCTGTGGGAGAACTGATGTCTTTACAATATTAATTTTTGCTTCCAAGAGTATTTCCCTTCATTTATTCCCATTTGGTTGTATTCACCTTTAGGAACTTTTAAGTCTTTATGATAAAAGTCCTGCGCATCTTTTGTTAGGTCACTTTGTGGGTTTTGCAGTTACTAGAAATGGTATTTCATTTCCGGGCAACTCTGATAAAATTTGTTATTAGTTCTAATTGTTCATTAATTCCCATAGGTTATTTATATGCATTCATAATCTCCAAATAGTAGCAGTTTTGTCTTTTTGCTCTCCATCCTTATCCTTGTTTTCTTGCTTGCCTACAGTGGCCAGGACCTCCTGTACTATGCTGGCAGTGGTGGTAACACGTACCCCTAGCATGTTCCTGTCCTCAAACAGAAGTTTCTCCTCTAGGCATGATGTTTCTGCAGATTTTTGGAAGACACCTTTTGTCAGATTAAGGAAGTTCTTTTTCAATTCCTAAACTTCCAAGAGCTTTCATTAAATGGGTATTGAACTCTATTCAGTATGTTCTCCAATCCACTGAGATAATCACGTTCTTTCTTTCCCATTAATGTGGTCAACTTCAGTGACGTTTCTAAAACAGAACCACGTCTAGTACCTGGGATAAAGTCCGCTTGAAGTAATATATGTAATTAGCTTGATATTTCATTTAGGTTTTATATACTCATGATTCAAAGTGATATACCTACAGTTTTTTCTTTGTGCAGTTCATATCTGGTTTTGGTATGTCTTAACAACAAATCGTACAAGTGGGACACCTTTCCTTATCCCATTTTCTGAAGCAACTTGTAAGTACAGGAATTATCTGATCAATGAAGTTTCTTATATCTTACCTATAAAGCCATCTTATCCTGAGGCTTTTTGGGTGGTAAATTACCTTTCTTTCCTTGGTGGTTAATGATGTACTCAAGGTCTACTGTGGTAATTTTGGCACTTAAGTTTTTCTAGAAATGTATCTAGTTTACCTGGGTTTTCAAATGTATTGATTTATAGTTGTTTATAATATTTTGTTATTCATCTGCTATATCTGTAGTTATTTTTGCCCTTTTCATTCCATATTTTGTTCTTCATATTTTTCCCCCACAATCAAACCTGACAAAGGTTTGCCTATTGTATTAATCTTTTCACAGAACTTTAGCTGTTAATAATTTTCTTCCCCTTTTACCTTTACTTTGAAAATTTTGTTCATCATCATTCTTATATTATTTCCTTCCTTATTTCTTTGATCTAAATCTGCTGCTTTTATATTCCTAGAGTCAAACTCTGAGTTGAATTGTTTTCAACTTTTCTTATTTTACAATAAATAAATTCAAAGTTATAAATTCCCCTACAGTTTTTGACAGCATTTTCATTATTCAGCCATTTTTTGGTAATCTCCACTATGACTGCCTATTAGATAGTGGTGTTTCAAATAGTAATATTTTAAAATATGTAGACACGAGATTTCTATAGCTATGGTTGTTTCCTAATTTCATTTATTTATAGTCTGAATAGTCTGTGGGATGGCAATTCATTGGAATATACTGATAATTCCTTTGTGGCCTGGCATGTGATTAATTTCTGCAACTGTTCCATGTATGATCAAGTTATTAATCATGTCCTTTGAATGTTCTTTATTCTTGTTTATTCTGCCTACTTGATTTGCCATTTTCAGAAAGGAATGTATTAAAATTTCCAAGCCCAACTGTTGACTTATATGCTTCTCTATGCAGTTCTGTCAGTTGTTAGTTCATATTTCAAGTTTATATTTTATAGTACATATGTGTCCATGATTATTATATTACTTTGTTAATTATTGCTCCTTTGATGAGCATTTAACATCCTTGTCTTTATAATTGAGTTATCTTCTATTTTGTCAAATATGAAA